CGATCAGCTGAATGAAGGACCCAGTCCGTGCTATGCAACATGCATGCGGATGTTGCTAGCGTTCCATCCCAGTGGCGATGCTGGGTGACCAGGTGCGAAGGCGAAGACGCATGTCTGCAGCAGAACAAGATAAGGTGACTGGCCAACAGCGTTTCGAGTCCATAGTGGAAAGACCGGCATGTTGTGTGTCAGCCAAGCGGTAAAGGTGAGGATCTCTAGTGGACGCAAAAACCAGCCGAGCACCATCGGTGAAGCTCAGTGATGCTACACAGGTTGATTAGCGTGACCACAAACGGAAAATTTGGGGTCGAGCATGTAGCGTAGGAAATGAGAAATGCCCGAAGTACCGTGACGACATGGCGTACTAGTGCGTAAGGAGACAGCGATGCCCAACCGCAGGCGACGATGCTGCTTATTCTCCAGGGCCTGGTCAGTGCATCTTGTAACGGTTGACCATAGCTCGAGGTGAAGGGAGTGGAACCTAGAGACTCTCAAGGTTGGCCCGTGTATTGCCTGGTGGCATTTCCGCTGAGGTACCAATAGCGGGAGCCATTGGCCAATCGCTTACTGGACCCAGGAAAATATTCTTGAACCGGACTGTAACTCGGCATACACCAAGCAGCACGTGATCGTATCTCGGTTCACGAATGCTCCATCTCATATGGCATGAGAGGCCCGGATTGCTCGACAAGGACACACCATAACGACCCCAAGCGCCAACTAAGGCGTCTTGACAAGGAACATGCGGGATTTTCGCATCTGGAACAAAGGGTTACGTGGTTGAGGAAGCCACGACACGTTGATCCCCTAGCAAATGTGATAACTGTCTGCAGCTGGAAACGCCGGCACGGCCTAGGGTATCATTTCAGCCCGTCTCCGCATTACTCTAGCGTCAGAGTAAGAGGGATCCGTGAATCGTAGCGATATCGTTGGATGGAACCGGGTGGGGTGCTACCACGTCGATGAAAGGATAGGCCACGGCATCAATTTATGGCCTGACAGCGAAGCGGGCTCGGGTTCGATGGATGGCCGGCGAGGCCGGCGAGAGGAGTTCGTTTCGAAGGATAAATAGCGGTACGCTGCTGCCAGAATATCAGTCTCTTCACACTCAGTCCAAAGATCTCTTCCAGTCATTGACCATAGACTCTGATCCTCAGCCATCTTTTGCAACACCGGGCTTGACCAACAACACCTCTCTTGGGTATAGACCATAGCCGTCTTTGCCAAAGCCCTCCTACCATCCAACCATTCTGTATGTGTCTTTGAGGCTCAAGGTTGAGGTGACCCCTGAGCTGACCCACTTCCAGGAACGCGATCGCTGGCCCTATCAAAAAGATCCAGTGTTTGAACGAGCAGTAACAGGTAGGTGTTCGAGTGCTGCTATCCAAGCGGTTCGTGAACAAGACTAACGTGTTACCGAACATCAGACGTCCAAGCTCTTCCAGCCTGAAACATGTGCTTCTACGACCAACACAGGTTCGTCTGCGGCGACTGGAAGTGGGGCCACTTCCGACAGCACTGCGCCAAGGAGTACCGAATCGGCGAGACGTGTGGCATGAAGCTCATCATGCAGACAATTCCTACCGGAACATACTGCAAGCTCTGTGAGAAGATCAACACCAAGATGCGCCGCCGAGCCGCTGAGGTGGACCGCATCGGGCGCTGGCAGCGAGAGCCTCACAAGTTCGGTGCTTCGATCGAGAAGTCGATGGAGATGATTCGCAGTCTGGATGGAGAAATCAATGAGCTGTCTTGCGAGCGCAACCGTAGACTGCAAGCGGTCTACTGAGGTTACAGCGGTCATGGCGCGGGCGTCTGCGGTTTCGTTTCATGTATACCGCTTCGGTATTTTCTTTCAGTTTGAGGCCATTCATTTCTTGGGTCCAGAGGCGGAATGATGCACGCAGAGCTGGCATTGAGCGATGGCATACGGAACAGGGAAGGCCGGGCGTTACCTCTTACAGTCGCTTCTTTCTATTCCTGAGATTCTCAGTATTTAATGATGCAATGACCATTTCCAATTTGTATGATTGGTTGCTTCCTGGATTGTGGTGATCGTAGCCGCTGTGCTTGAATTGGGGGCTGAAGCTGTCCAATCCGTGACCGTCGCGTAGCCGCGAATAGAAGTGGAGAGCTCATGGTGCACGGCCCGGCGAGAGACAGTACGGCGCTTTCCCCTCAGTCAGGGAAGGCTAGTCGAGTGTCCGGGCGAAGAGTTTGCGCAATGCAGCAAGGTCGCCCATCGTGAGATGAAGCGGGCGGAGGGTCGGATTCGGTGGTGTTGTTGTGTCGGAGGACGGCTGGTGGGGTAAATTTCGCAGCTTGGCAGACACGTGACGACGCTAGGGCTCACTCGGATAGTGCGAGCGGGTAGTGCCGATAATGCCCCGGTCTTAGTTGCCTATCCCATAGTGTCAGCTGGTCGGCCTGCACTCACTCTGTCATCTTGTGTACTCTTTCTTCCACGTCTTTGGCCTGGCTTGCGTTGTCTATGGACACCACGACATGTTCGTTCGTCCGTAAAGCTATCCTGACAGCAACCCGCATGGCCTACGGTCGATCGTTCCCCCTGTGTGGCCGAGCCCATGCGGCGCAGATATGTGTGGGTTCTGGATTATCGAGGGAAAGGTGCGTGAACCGATGCGTTGATCAGGTGGGTGTATGCAGCGGTCTGCGAGTACTTCGCTCACTTTGTCGGCGTCGCTCTGATGATCATCTGTTCTCGTGGGCGATCTGTCGTGTTCCGTGTGTTCCATCGTGCTTTTCGTGCGGGCTGCACGATGTTCTTTCTCGTTCTTCCAGTTGAAAAAATTGCTTTCGAGGTCAGCTAAGCTATACAGTGGTCGTAGTAGGTTGCAACAGTCTCAAGAGCCAGGAAGGAAGGTTAGAAGAGTCGACTTACGTGGCGAACGCTAAGTGGCCTGAATAGCGGCCGATCGCCTTCATACGTCTTCAAGGCTCGACTCCACCACGTTTCTTCTCCGCCATCCGCTCCCCGTATCGTTATCCAGACTTGGTGACTCACCACCCGATGTGTGTTCGTGCGAAGGAGAGCGCGGATCGTCCAGACAAGAGGATCAAGAGCGTATGGGGCTACCCAAGGTTCTTGAGTATGTCGCGAACGAAACCCTACCACGGCGAGTAGGTTTAAGCGCTCGTGACATACGACAGGTTATCACTCGTGTACTACCGCTCCTCCCTCGGGCTGAAAGACGCGGTTAGGTGGACACCTGAGGGGCATACGTTCAGCTCGACGACCAATGAGCCAGCTCGACGTGTTGTCAGCAGGACCACTCAGACATGGTTCGTACATGACTTACGACAGAAGGCATGTCTAAAAGCCGCACTTTGGATGTATTGGGCTGCAGATGAATTTGTGTGCATAGCCGGAACACATGTAAAGCACCGGTTCGACCAATGATATCGCGAGACAGCACTTTTGGATATGCTGGGCAACCAACCCAGTACTTCTCTCATCTCGCTACAGTTCGGTAGTGGGCGACTAACTAAGTTGCATGTACTGGCGATACGTACCGCTTGACGCTCATTCATCCAGCTCTTTTCGTCGTCGCTACAAGCCTTGCGCATAGCGACTTTACCCTTTTGGGTCGATCTTGCTTGCCATAGCGCTCCCGCATATTATCTGCACATCGGAACGGACGCACTACGTGTCCCGCGCCAATCATGACAATATCGAGGTTCACAGTTGGATCCTGCTTTCAAGTGCTTTCAACGTTTTCTTGTCTTATCGTCGCAGCAATTGTACCCGTCGACAGTCTACACCCAGCGTCCAGGCTGCCGTCCTAAGATCTGTGTTACCAAAAACAGGTGTAGACTAGTATTCACGGCGACAAAGGATGTATTGCGTTCGATGCAAGGCCTGTCATAGCCTATGCAGACCTTGTAGGACATGCGAATGTGGTACGTTCTTCGCCAAGGGCTTGACCAATCACAGTCCAGAAGCGGCATTCTGCCTCGATCGCATGCCGCCGACTTCGCCCAACGAAAACCTTGGACAGCCACGAAGTATGGCACGCTAAACTGCTTCCATGATCGTTAAGATTACCTTGATTTTTTGTACATGATGCAGTAACTCGGAGATTGCAGCTTTTCCAAAATGGGTTGTTACTCCAGGTATTGTCGACGGTTCTGTGCCCAATAGCGCGCGCTCCCACCCCCACCGGCGGCTCGTCTCGCAGCGGACGTCTAGGATGGCCCTTGCTGGTCGGCGAAGGTGTTCGAATACCCCACGTAGGTCTCGCAAGAAGGGCAAGATCATCTAACATGAGGACAGTACCAGAGGTTCGTCGTGTAGCAGCTGGACCAAGCGCCTGCAGGGGATGCGAACCAAATTTGGAATACCCCGGCTACTCTATCTTCCATCCCTACGGCATCGCTCCACGGCAACTCGACACTGGGCGCGCTGCTACAACTACACCCTGGATAAGTCTCGTGGCTTCTGGGTATAGACTTCCAGAATCTACCTAGAGACTTCAATCAAGACGTGATTGGCCGCCTGAGCAACCTGAAAAGAAGCACCTGGCCAAAACCTCCACCCAGACCACTACTACGTCTATTCTAGCCCGTGCCGACCTCAACCCATCCACCAGTAGACCTCTGTAACTTCAATGCAAGCTTCATGAAATACCCCACAAATGTCGGTATAGTGTATACCACGAAACGATATGCAGTTCTTTCTCATTTCCACAACAGGGGTGTTAATAAATAGCTCATCCGCATCCCCGGTGTTTGACCTCTACGTTCCGTCGCTTTGAGACTACACACGAATCAACAGTCTCACGTTGCGAAAGGACCAATCTTTACCCCTAGATATTGGCGTCGAGTCGGTTGGGAAAATCACAATAATGGTAGTGGCAAAAGTTCGTTCAAAACATCCGTATGCATACACGCCATAGGGCATGTACAATATTACATGAGCTTCCAAATGCGCGTTCCGACGATATCAAAATCTACTCCCATTCCAATCATCTACAACCTATCTACGCCTTCTCATCCCCCCCAACATCCCTCAACCTAACCCTCAACCCCCCCTTAGGCCTCGCCGTAATCCCCCCTTGAATCCCCACCACATGCCCCTCCACCTCAAACGCAATCTCAAACCTGCCCACAAGACTCGCCACAAGACAAGCAAACTCCGCTTTAGCAAACTGCATGCCAATGCAACTCCTTGGCCCATGCAAAAACGTCGTAATGGCATAGTTCGACTCCGCGCCGCCGGTATTGGCAGTACCAGGCTGCATCCAGCGGTCGGGGTTGAAGGAGCGGGCATCGGGACCCCAGAGATGCGTGGACGTGTTGATGGCCCAGGGGCAGATTACTACGGTTGTGCCCGCGGGGACGAAGTGGGATTGGATGGTGGTGTCGTGGGCGGTTTCGCGGAGGGTGAGGGGGACGGGGGGGTAGATGCGCATTGTTTCTTGGAGTACGGCGTTTAAATAGGGGAGTCGGTCGATCTCCGTAGAAGAGATCTGGCCACCTGGTTGCAGTGCTTCAGGCAGCTCGGTGCGTATCTCCTGTCGTAGTCGTGTTTGCACATCAGGGTTCTGACAGAGGAGGTATACGGCCCATGACATGGCTGAAGCGGTAGTTTCGTGGCCCGCGGCGAGGAACGTCATGAGTTGGTTTACGAGGTCTTCGTCGCTGAAACCACCGGATTCCATGGCTACGCTTAAGATGTCCATGCCTTTTGCTTCGCCGGATTGCAGATTCTCGCGCTTGTCGTGGATGAGATCCCGGGCGACTTTCTTGATGGTGTCGACGGCGTTGCCGATGATGTCGTTGCGTGCCAAGGGAAGATTTACAGCAACCCAGTGGGGGAGCAGATTGAGCAAGACTTGGATGAGTTGAGCACCACGCGCGCCGGCGAAGATCTTGCGGTAGGTTTCGTTGAGTTCATTGGACGGGTTGCTGATGGCATCGAAGTCTTTGCCCATTCCTGCTACACCAATAATGTCGAGGGTGGCGCGGGAGGCCCAATGCCCGATTTCGACTACAGATGACCCATCAGGGCTGCTCTTGATGGTTTCAGCCAGCTTGTCTGTAAATTCCTGGGATTTACTCCAGAAAATCGGGTACAAGTCTTTGACGTGTCGGAAGTTGAACGCAGGCATAAGTGCCTTTCTCTGGCGCTGTAATCGCACATACATTAGTGACCATCTTCTTGAAGTGGATGACCTGTATCAGAGTACAGCATATACGCACCTTATGTTCATCCCCCTCCGCCAACAAAATCCCCACGCCCAACAACCTCCCCAACCCCTTCCTCAACCTCCCCGGCTTAACAAACTCATAGCTCCTCGTCACCAACACCTCGCCAATCGCCTTCGGATTCGTCACCAAAATCCGCGGCTCATTGAACAACCACCGATAATACAACACACCGTCATTCGGCACATTGTCAATCCAATCCCGCTGCGGCTCACCCGTCGGGTCCTTGTAGATGCGTCGGAAGTGGCCGAGCAGGAAATGGCTGTCTGGCGGCGAGGGTAGATGTCTTAACGGACTTAAAAACAGTGGGTAGACAACGATGGACCATGCCAGTTGAACGAAGACTGCGATTGCGAAAAGCGCAATGGTGTTCTTGATATAGCCTTGCGAAACAGCGACGGCAGGCGCATACCGCTGACTAAACCACGTCCACGCCGCAGCCGCAAGCAGCAGGAAGCGTTTCGGCACCGCCATTTCAGGAACTCTGCGCAAGGGGCGCAGTTGCAGATGTTCGAAAGGGATTGACTGTTTGGGGTCGCTCGACCTGCGTGGATGTGGCGAAGCGGCGAATCAAGGTGTTTCGGTAATGGATGACGTAAGGAAGTTGTGTCTGCGCCACGACGGGGGTTGTTGAGCGGCGTGGTACTGTAATGCCAAGTAGTAACCAGCACAGATGATATATCGTGAGAAGAGAGAATTGAGGTTCAGCAAGCTGTCTTAAGCATTCAGCTGCTCGCCCGCACATGCATCGTTTCGATTGCGCGTAGCTGGTCCGAGAAGGTCCGTGCGCAAGAGTCGGCATGTTGTCTTCCCGAGAACGCCCACCTGTTTAGGGCACATTTGCGACTGGCTGGCGGGTTTGTTGTCCCGCGTTAGCTGAGTGGCTTCAAGGCAGCAGGAATGTATACGGATCATGGGGTCGCAATCTGCAGAAGCAAGCGGACGAGTTTTACGGGATGACGTTGGAAATCTATGTGGTGTGTGTTTCATTAATGCGATTCGCGTTGCTGTATCGCGATACTACGTGGCCGAAAGCCCTAATTACGTTCCTCCCTAGATAGCAAGCTATGCTCATTTACGCTTCGTTGTCCTGTCCTCATTATCGCTTTTCCTTTCTACGGCCGTTGCAGTTGCCTCATCTGTTTGCTTCGTCTTCTTGTTTTCGGTGTCCTTGTCTTCGGTCACCGGGTCTTCGGTCTCCTTTGTCGCCACATCCTTCTTGACATCCTCCTTTGATGGCGTCTTGGACAGGTGCCCTGCAGTCTGCTTCGACCAAAGCTCCGAATACTTTCCAGCTTCATTCTTCAGTAGCTCTTGATGCGTGCCGCGCTCGATAATTTCGCCCTTCTCCACGACTAGGATCTGGTCCGCATCAGCAATCGTGCTGAGACGATGCGCGATAACGAAGGTGGTGCGACCCTGGCTAAGTTTGCGGAACGCTTGTTGAATGAGCGCTTCGATAGAAGAGTCGATTGCTGACGTGGCTTCGTCAAGCATGACGATCTTGGGATTCTTGAGGAGTACCCGCGCGATGGCTATGCGCTGGAGTTGACCGCCTGAGAGACGAACACCACGTTCGCCGACCTTGGAGTTGTAGCCGTCGGGGAAGCCAACGATGTCGTCGTGAATGGCAGCAGCGGCGCAGGCATCTTCGATCTCCTTGTCCGTTGCGTCGAGTTTGGCGTAGCGAATATTTTGTCGGATGGTCTGGTTGAAGAGGACAGGGTCTTGCGGCACAAGACCGAGAGCATTCCTGAGGCTGGCTTGCGTGACTGAACGTAGATCTTGACCATCGATCATGATTGAGCCGCCGGTCACGTCGTAAAAGCGGAACAGCAATTTCAGCATTGTCGACTTGCCGCCTCCTGTCTCACCAACGAAGGCGATGGTCTGTCCGCCTTCCGCCTTCAGATTCACGCCCTTGATAATGGGCTTACGCTCGTCGTAGTGGAAGTCGACGTCCTTGAACTCGACTTCACCCGCGGAAACCACGATGTCTCTTGCACCGTCTTGGTCGGCAACTGTAGGTTTAGTATTAAGTAGCTGCAGAAGGCGCTCGGCATCAATAAGCGAGCTGGAGATGTGGCGATAGCTGTATGAGAGAACGTATAGGGGCGATGTCATTGTGTGCCAGTACATGATCAGAGTGACAAGATTGCCGACTGGCTTGCGGCCAGTGACAATCTGCGACATACCAAAGACGCAAGCACCGGCGAACCCGAGAGTTGTCAGAACGTCCTGTGCCGCATGGCCGCCCATAGATCGGAAGTAGTATGCGTATTGAGCGGAGATGGTGTTCATGATGTTCTCGGCATAGCGCTTGTGTTCGAACACCAATCGGTTGAAGTAAGCGACCGTCTGCCAGTTGTGGACAGTCTCATTGACCGTAGAGCTTTCAGTACGCTGCTTTTCGACATAGTCTCTTCGCTTCGGCTGAGAGAGCGTCGTGAAGTAGAATCCGATTACGATGTATGCTGCGCCCATGAAAAGAATGATGAAGGCCATGTAAGCGTCGAACAAGTGCGTTACGTAGTACATGGCTACGAAGAGGTCCAACAGAATGGGCGCAATGTCGAAGAGAACCATCTCGATGAGCGAGTTTAGAGATGACGCCTGTTCAACAGCTTTCAGAACCTCCCCGGAGTCTTTTGAGGTGTGGAAGTCCATGGATAGACCGAGGACATGCTCATATGCGAGCAAGGTGATGCGCCGATACGCGGAGTTCGAGATGACTAAGTTTGCGATGCCATCGATTATGCCGAGCCCAGCATAGCTGTTGATGTATGAGAACAAGATCCAGAGGCCAATATCCCTCCACGGCATGACGCCACTCTGGGTCTCATAAGAGTGCTGTAGTTTGTTGGTGATGATACCGATTTGGCGAGGAGTAAGCAAGTTCAGAACACGCTCTGTCAGCATATGAATGAGTCGTAGACCCAGGCATGTCATGACTTTCCAGTCGTCTCTCGGGAATAGGTAAGGCAAGAACACGGCGAAACCTTTGAGATATCCGAACCAGCCACCCTCCTCTTCGAGACGCTTTGCCTGTTGCTCTTTGATGTCCTTGTCGTCATCTTTCGGCGGTGCTTCCTCATCGTCGCTCGACGTTCCAGTGGGTATGGTGCCATATCCAGCGTTGCCGTTGGGTGTTGATGAACCATTCGCTTGCTTTCCTAGCAGAGACTGGCGTTCCTCGTCCGTGCTGACCACCGCCTGCTTGGTGACCAGAATGATGAAGGCGTCAAGAAGTAATATGAGCGAAGCCAACGCCCTGACGCAGTCAATCACGAAAGGCGCATTCTTCTGCCGACCCTTCTCCGGGATGGGAAATGCCGTTATCAGGCATGTCGTAGTCTCGAAAGCGAATTGCAGGACAAATGCGCCAAAGTAAGCGTGCCACCGTAACGCCTTACTCGACCAGAGTATGTATGCGAGGGGGCTCCAGACCAGTATCGATCCTAAGCAGCGGATTGCTGCAGGTTGTGGTGCCTCGTAGTCCCAATCGCCCATTGACCGGCTGAAGTAGTAGAGTACCTCTGTGATGTATGCGACCAGTATTGTGAGCATGGCGATGAGTATGCTCCACCGCCTCTTTGCTGATACTAATCGTGGTTTTTGCAATATGCACAAACTGAATGCGCAAGCTCCCATGTAGTAAAAGCCAAGCGTGGGCGCATGCATGTAGTTGAGGAGAGCCATGGCCGGGTAAAGCGGTGTCGCGGTTTCTGGCTGATCCATGGTCGTAGTCGTGATCGTGAGCTCGTTTCTTCGTTGATGTTCCTGTTCTCGTAGCGTCTGTCTTAGACACTTATGGCTGCGCACAGATACACGGTCTGTGCAAGGTCGTGGGAGGCGACTTTATCGTCTCACACGGTTGTTGGAGGCCTGGGAGTAGGTCGCACACCAGGTCTCGAACTGGCAAGGGCAGGCTGCCGAGAGGAAGGTGCTTGGTGGTGTGCGAATCCGGCCGCTGCGAGGAGGCAGAGGCTGCAGCCCCAAGCTTTTGATTTGGTGATATGGTCTTCAGCCGCACCGCCACAACGCTCTTCTCCGCTTAAGAATACCCGGCGAGCTCAGCCAGGAGGATCGAGTATGTGTATGCTGTCGTGATGGGCAGGGTTGTCTTCGCTTAAGGCCTGGGTTTCGAACAGCCCGCGACGCGTACTCTGCGACAGCCTCCAGAGTTATACGATTGCGCGGCGCAAACTTCCGCGCAGTCGACTGTCACGCGCGCTTGATGATTTTGGCGGTCTGTTGATGGACGCGCGATGTTTGGTTGTCGCGCTTTGCGCATTCCGAACTGAAGAAGCTGCGCGCCCTTGTTAGCCTAGTCGGTGTGGCTAGTGCCCGCTGCTAGGTCTACTGCAATCACCATGCAGTCCACTCACCGCCGTCTCCAGCTATCTGCTCTTGCGGCGTACAGCGTACGGCGACACTCCGGTGCCGCCGCTGCTGAAGAAGCGGCAACGATGTATATATAGCGCTGCATTTTCCCAGAGAGTCGCCGGTGAGGCCGCACACCCCCAAATTTCTCTAGAGCCGTCATCAAGCGGCGAGACCCCGCTCTAGGCAGAAGCAAGCACCCAACACAACAGCCATGGCGGCAGAGCGACCGTCGGCGCTCGAGGCGGCAAAAGAGATTCGGGAAAATGGTTCACGGCCCATAGCGGGGTTGGACTTGGTGGACGATGCGGCTCCTTGCAGGTGTCACATCTGCAAGATGCGAGTTCCTTCTGCGCCGGATTGGGTAAGCGAGGCTGCACTTCCTCAGGTACCGTGCATGCTTTCTGTAGATCCGCAATGCACGACACGTCGACTTGAATACCATCAACGGCATCCACTCCTAGCGTTTGATCTAGCTTTCTTATCAGACAAGCACACCGCCCAGTCCTCTAGCAGCTTTGCTAGTGACCACGAGAGCCTCACTAGCGACTAGCAG